ATCTCCCTTTCCTATAGCCCATTATGTCTCAAAATAAAGCGATTTCGTCACAAAACATAAAATAAAAAAAATTCGAATTTAGAAAAAATCGCTTCGAGGTGCACTGGCTCTTGTCTAGAGGCACCTATGTACCAAATTTGGTAGCCGTGGGTCTATTAGATTACGTGCAGTGTGAACGAAAGACACACACACGGACACAGACAGACTCTTTGTTTTATTCTATGTAAACTCAAATGAAAATGTATTGATTCAATCTAATGGTACCATATTATTAAAAAAAAAGACCTTCTTTGAGTTTTTACCTTTCTTCAATGTGGAAGGCATTATCTTGTAAAGCTTTATTTTGGCTTTCAAACTTTCAAAATTATTTGATGAACCCTTCTTTTGATGAAGTGGAATTAAAGGCCTAGCCCAGCACACTCCGTAAATTTAACTTGCTTGATCCGCCATCACTAACCAAGACTATGGCATCTCTCCACCTGTAATAAAAAAAAAAAAAAAAAAATATGGTGTAGACACATCACCATCTCTACAGTTCCAGTAACCGCGAAGGATGTCATATCTTGTTAGCCTGGGATAGGGCTCCGGCCCAGGAACCTGCGTTTCCTGGCCTTCAGCCACCTAAGAAGGATGGATGTCTCACATGCGACTCTGCCCTTAAATTGTTTTCTTATATTTCCATGCATTCCCAATAAGAGGTTATCACATCTAGTGATGGTTCCTGCTAGACGGGACTATTCAGAGAAACAAGATTCTGGTGGCACTGGTTTAAACGGGATAGTTCTCAGAAAAAGAAGCTTTGCTGGAAGCGAAATCCCGCCTAACTAAGGAAACAATGTACCGGCTACGCGGGTTTTTTGAAACTTCGCCGAAAATGTTTCGGTTGGAACTTTAACCTGCATAGTGATCAACCAGACAAAAGTTCTGCTTCTGAAAGATCATGTGATCCCAATCTAAGCGATAATCGATTACTGTTTGGCTTTTAAGTCTTTGTAGTAAGTGAAAATAGTAACCTAGCTACGTGGGTTTCCTAGACATGTGTGGGTTCTGAAAATTGTCCCTTTTGATGTCAAATCCTTCGTAGCAGAAACATAATGTGATTGGGACTTTATTGCTCTATAATTCAGCGCCATTGACCAAGAAGCTTAATCATTAATCGCTTTCCTATTCACTTTAATGTTTCATTGTGTATAAAAATACCAAAACATTTTTTAAAAAATTATAAAAATAAAAAAAAAAAAAAAAAAACTGTAAAAAATCAAAACTTATGATTTTTCTTATACCTAATCTTTCTTGAGCCACCTGGCTCCCTCTAGCTTCTTTCTTTTTAACTATTTTTATGTAATTTTCCTATTCATGCTCTCTATCTATTATATTCTGATGTGAAGGTAAATAGTTTTGAACCATTGGTACTTCGCATAACATAACCTTTTGTCAAAGTGAATCATCCAAAAAGCAGGAGAAACAGAAATTCGACTTCTTTTAACTTTGGAGAACAACACGCAGATAATGTTGTCACTGCTTCCTTTTTAATTTCTGCCCGAATCACAAAGCAAAAGTGAAGCAAAGATGCCAACTATATCTTCCTTTACACACCCAGTTAACAAAACATTCCGAAGTGACGAATAGCTTTTTCTCATCATAAATGCTATTCACAACCCACAAAGAGAATCAGTTTGGGGGGAACACTGAACAAGTAATTCAGTCCCAGCTACCATCCAGACGTTCAAAATTAAAAAAAAAAACCCACTCTCTATTTTGTGAGAAAAGCATTAAAAAATAAATGTCCAAAAAAATCCCCACCCTTTAACTGTCAAAAATACATTACACTAGTAACAAACAATTTCAGTTAAATAAAATCTTTAATTAATTAAATTAGAATAGCACAATTAAAATTTGTGACACAATCAATAGTCTTTAACATGACTTTCTTTACACTACTAAGAATTTCATTAAGCAATTTTCTAAGACATCTCAATGGAATTACGCAAATCATTTATTTTTATTTCATACTTTAATATGAATTTCGTTTGTATCCTTTTTTTTTTTTTGCCATCTGGCTACAGTAATGTTACTTCTTCCACATTCCATGTCTGTAGTTAATGAACATCGAAAAACGCTTTTAGTCTTCCTCATTTTCTTTTTATACTTTTAAAATTAATTTTTTGAAGCGATAATCCATTTTGTAAAAATATTGCAAAACAATTAAAATAAATTTTCTTATGTTAATTTATGAAACTTATTCTTGCTTTTAAAGGTTAATCCTTCATGTTCTTTTGATTTTAACACAGAATGAATATTAGCCTTGACTGTTCTAGTCATTAAAGGGATTAGCTTTTATATAATGCTTGTATTATGACTTTGAGAAGCTTTTGACAGTTATGATAATTTCTGTCATATACTGATCAACAAAACGAGGTTTTAAAAATTCCAAATTTAGGATATCATTTTAAAAAAACCCTTATATTTATTATTCAATGCAAAATGTTTGCATAAAACAGGATAGTGCCTTCATACAGTAACAGCCATTTATAAACTGCATGCTGCTCATCACAGCCCAACAGATAGCCAAATTTAATATTTCAACATTCTTTGCCAGTCTCATTAAATTTTGAGAGAATTGAAGATACAAAACATATAATTTATCGAGGAATATTTTCAAAATGATTTTAACAAATTATTCAATGCTAATTGTAAACCATGAGTTAGTTATTCAATGGAAAAATTGCATTGTTAATTTTTTTTTTATAGAAGTATGATGAAATCAGACAAAACTCTAATTTGCAAGAAAACTTAACATATTTCAATGTATGAACATGGCATACAAGATGTGTTGTTGCTTAGCAACCAGACCTTGTTATGTAGCAGAAACTGGCATAAGAAATTTCTTAAAATATTCTAATTTTTCAATTTTATGCCAACCTGGTATTAGAATTGACAAATTAAGAGCAAAGGAAACATGAACTGACATTCAGTCAACAATTTCACTAAGTCAACTAACTGCACATTCATGCATGTGCAACTTTACCTTCCTTGAAGGTGTAAACCTTGTTTATAGAGGTGTGAAGAATATTAAAAACTTTTACACTAGGATTTTGTGTGAATGCTTTCTCAGATTCAAACTTAACAAATGGCTTGCATGAGCCTCTGAAAATTGGAATCAAACTGCTATAATATACTTGCTTAATCTATTTTTAGAATAGGAACATTTATTCCATCCGTCAACACAAACAACAAAATTCTGTTATGAGTATAAAATTAATTCTATGTTAAAATCAAAAGAATATAAAAGATTAATGAGTGAAAGCAAGAATAAATGTCACAAATTTACCTGAGAAAATTAAACTTTTTAAAATTATAGCACGTATGGCTTTCCAATAACAATTATTTTCTTGAAATAATCTATTCACTTTAGGCAACTGCAAAGAGGGAATATAATTACCCTATTAGTATATTCAGCCTTATTACATTCAAAAACAGAACAATGTATCTGAATCTGATAATTGTTTATTCAGCATTACTATAAAATCATTTTTTCTGCAATTTCTCAAAATAAAATTCTTTATTACAAAACATATCAGCTACAGTTTCAAAATCTTGTAATTAAAATTGTAGACTTATTCTCATAAACTTTTAAAATTCAGCTAGAATTCATATTCATAAGATAGTAATTTTCATTAACAGATAAAAATTAAATTAATTTCTATAGAAAAAAATTAGTTTAAAATTTAACAAAATGATTTACCCATTAATATATGAATGATTATTTCAGAAAATTCACAAAAATTAGTTGTTAAGTCACTCAACAACTAATTTTTGTAAAATCAAATAAAAGCTTCCCTCTGTGATTTTGAACTAAATGTTATTTTGCAAATATTTACACAAAACAATCTATTTATGCATGTTTAAACATAAATTATACAAAACTCTAAACTGTTTCAATATAAAATAAAAATTAGCTGAAATATTTTTGGAATAAGTGTTCATCATCAGTGAAATGTTCTATGGATACAGGTACACACACAAAAGGGGGGAAAAAGTACAGTAAGACCCCGCTTATCCGTTCCATCAAAGTAGAGCGTAATGCGAAACAGCGCTAAACGAGGCTATCTTAACATGTAAATAATGGAGTTAGGGGAAGATGGATAGAAAATTGGTTAGGTATTAAATTTAATAATGTTTTTTTTAATAAAAATAAAACCAAACATTTATTTCTTACAAAAATAAAAGCAATATAAATGAATATATTTATAAAAACAAATAAAATTCTAAGCCATTCAGATCATTCAGTCTGTTCTGTGTTTCCAATTTTCTGCATTTTTTTTTTTTTCAAGAAGGCATTATGATAGATTGGCTTAATGTGGCATATTGCGTTCAATTTCGTTGTCAATCCATACAGACAATCGTTTTTCCATTTCCTCTATAATGTTACTTCTAGAACGGGTAATTTTAGTTGCAGAGCTTGACGTAGTTGCAGTTGCCGATGACAGTATTTTTTCTTTATTCTTAAGAATTGTCCTTATTGTTGAAGTTGCCAAATTCAATGCAGCACTAATTTGAGATTGACGTTCACCAGAATCTAATCTTCTAATCACTTGCATTTTAGTTTCCAGTGAAATGCTTTTTCTGGTTGCTTTCTTTTCTTGTTTTTTATTATCACCCATGATAAAAACTAAAGATCATAATATTTGTCACTGTATTAATCGTTATAGTATTATGTAAATTTATACTTACAATAATGTCAACAAATGTTTCAAATGATAAAAATGCTTCCGTACAGCACCTCACCGCACCAAACAAGAAACATAACTACAAAGTTTCAGATATGTTATTTGGAAACTTACCGCTGCGCACAATTTCGAGGAATCCCCGTAGTTCATGCTGCAAGCAATTTCGGGGAATCCCAACGTTGAAATAAAAGAGCGCTAAACGAAACAGCGTTAAGCAGGGTCTTACTGTAATTAAGAATTTGTTGAGAATGAATAGAAAAAGTACACAGATACGAGTTTATATGAATTTATTTGATCCTTGAGATACATGATTAATTGCATATGTACAAAAATTACATTTTCAGATAATGATAAATCATCCTATTATATGGGTAACTCACTAAAGAATAACAACTAATTGAAAGCATACACAAAATAAAATTGGAATACTTAGTAAAAACATTTTGATTTTACAGTCTATGTACAAGAAAATAATAAAGTAATATACATAGAAAGTTTCAAACTGTTACTACAATCAGTGTAGCAGAAAAACTGACGTTGAAAGAATACTGTCACGATAATTAATTGCTACCAACAAAGAAATTTTTTTACTTCAATTTCTGCCGGCTAACATTAATCATCTTGTAAATTTAAATACGTTACCCTCCAGGAAAGTTCTTGTGTTTTTAAACTCAAGTACGAGTGTCAGTATTGCAAATATTAGATATTTACAAATAAATTAATATACATAAAAAAATTTATTCTATAGTTATGATATAAACATTTTAAAATCTATTTAAACTCTTATGAAGTAGTTTTTGATAAAGAATCTGGCATGGAATCAAACGTGACATGAATTCAAAAATCTGAGATTTTATATGCAAAATACAATTTAACATATGGCAATTTTTGTTTTTCAGTATTTTTCACATAAAAAAAAAAAGCAAGCAATAATGATTGAAATACAATAACTGGTACAGCATTATTTACTACTGGTAAGTTCTTGAGCTCAACAATTGTATTAAAGAACAAAATCAGCATTAAAACATTTGGTGTGACAATTCATATCTGGTGTAGATTGTACTCTTTTTTTTTTAATGATACATTTATGATGATTTCATTGCATCTGGATATGCAAAATACTAGTTTGTAGATTCTTGATATCGTGTAACATAATTTACATTTAGAAATCTGAAAATTTTTGCACAGATATTAACACGACAAATTATACTAAAACTTTTTATTTTGATAGTTTAATTATAGGAAGAAACACCAATTAAAATAATATTAATAATTACAATAACATCAAACACCAATTACAATAATATTTTGTGTTTATTTTATATAATTTACAGCCAATGTTATGCTTAGGTAAAACAGGCAATTTTATGCACAAAATACATTTAAAACTTGTATCAAAGGCAATGTATAGTTAACCAAATATGTATTTATCACATATGAAGAAAACAGTTAAGATTATGGTAATGTATGATTCACTTCTTTTGCAAAAATACTAATTCACAGTTTTTTACATAATTTGTTTTAAAAAGACAGATTCAGATTGCCACAGTTTCTGCAATAATTTGCAGAATTTTGATTATGTAAGAATACTAATAATAAATATGAAAAGCTTCTCTTATGGTAATATACTTTAAAATGGATTTCTAGTTAAAATTTCTTTAAATTTGAATTTCAGAAGATAATAGAAGATCATATTTAAAGAACTACTCTAGTACTTTTAATGGGTAAAGACTAGAACTTTTTCTTATTTTCCTAAGTAAAGAATATGATTTGTGTCAAAGGTTATGGCAGAGAAAATTAAAACAAACTTCAAATTATGCTTCTTAAATTGGATCTAAATACACAAAACAATTCTTTAGTTTTAATATGATGTATAAATAAACATATAAAAAACATGCTAAATAAGTTTGAATTATCCATAGAAGAGGGAAAAGAAATACAGTATGCATGAAATCCACTATTGCATATAAAACTCTGTAGTGAATATGTTATTGCTTATGTCTTGTGTAAAAATAAAATGCTTAAAAAAGCAAAAAGTAATGACAAAAGTAACAGTCTAGTTATTTAAAAGCATAAAGACAAATAATTTAGAATATAAAGACTCAATACTCGACTTCTGCCAAAAGTAAGTTTATATTCAGAGAAAATGTGTTATAATACGGACACTTTTTATACAAAATATAGTTATTCATTATTACTTTCATATTTTGACTTTTTCATGATGCTACCTCACATTTTCTGGTAATATTTCTAAAATAATAATATATAGTTTTTTTTTTTTGGTACTTGAACCAACTAAGCCATTTAAAAATATATTAAATATATTTGGGAAACCTGAATATAACTGTGAAATCCTACTTAAAACATAAATGTAAATAAATACTAAACTGCTTGATTTTTTTTAATCTGCAGGAATCAAGAGCACCTGATTGATACAAGTAAGACAGGAAGGTTACATTTACTACCCTTAGTTTTGGCAGAATTCAAATGTAACAATAACAGCCCTACCCAATTAAAAAAGAAAGGTACAGGATTTCTTTCAAACAAATGTGAGCACAAATATGATTAAAAAAAGGGCATCACCTCTTGGGAGTTTATTTTACAGAAATTATGGTAATGCATAAAAAAAGTTGATTTACAATTAACAAGAGTTCACATCCTGTGAAGATGTTATAAACATTAAGATACCACAATGACTAACATTTCACTTATTACTGTACAGCAAAAATATCCTCTTCGCGCATAAACGCAGAATTATGTCGGCTTAATTACAGCATAAATACATAGTTTGCTCACACTCTCTATAATACATTCAACATCTGTTCCAAAACTCACACACAATTTTGAGGAGAAAGGTTGCTCTATTGCATTAAGGTCAGATGACATCCAGAACTATAAACAGTGGTTCCACTAGTTAAACTTGGACAATCAAATCAAAGTGCACTTTAGTAAATGGAGAAATGGGTACTTTTAAAGAATTCCATTGGTTAAATATTGAAAACCATCATAGAGTTTAGTTGTCAATGAATGCATGCTAGACTCAACCATAGTATCTACAAGTAGCTGAAGTTGTTCCTCAGTCAGGGCCATGTGAAATCTATCTCGGAGAGCTCTGATGGCACTGGCTCCATTTTTAAAGCATGGAAGTTGGCAGGAGGCTTGCATTATTTCCACCAGTGTAATGATGCGTTCATGGTGCTTGCGAGCAGCAACCAGGCCTTGCAACATTAATATTTTAAAATATTCAAACATATCATTTCCAGGTCCTCCCATTACCTGTAAATATTTGAAATTTTTTTAGCATTCAAGTGCTTCCAATTTATGTTACACTTAACATCAAGAATATACTAAAATTTAATATGAACACAAATTCTTAATGATTTAAAAAAAAAAAAAAAAAAAAAAAAGGAGAAAGAAAGAAAGAAAGGTAACTCGATTTATTGCCTTCTCTCAAAATAATCCAAAGAACATACATTTCATATCATGGTATTTTAAAAAGGAAACAGTTATACAGTATAAATCAAATTGTAGTTTTTAAACTAGAAACAGTTATATGCTAAATCTTTTCTAACTTCCATAGAAAACGTCAGAGATCACCTTTCGAGTACAATTTTTCATTTAAAATTTATATAACATCTATTTTTCTCATTACTTCAAGTCTATAACATATAAAATTACATAGGTATTCTCTTAAGTATGGAAGGTTATGCATGATGACAAATACAAACTATAAAATGAATAAAACAAATAGCTACTTTGCTTCATATGAAAATTACAAGATAAGAACTGTTTCCTTATTTTCAGATTCATTTTAAAATTTAGTAACAATATACAAAGTGTTTTTTTTTCCCCCTTTTTAACTGACTGTACTCAAGAGACCTCTGTTGCTTGAACTATTAGCCTCAAAGGCACGAAATTTTGTACGGGGACTATTGACGACACAGGAAAAAGGAATCTGCAAAAAAACAATTTAGTTCCAAAAGTTGCCGATAGGGAGAATATGGCGCTTTTGATCTAAATTTCAAGTTTAATTGCACGATAAAATTTAACAAATTAAAAAAAAGTAAACAGATAAATGAATAACAAAGAAATAATTTTTCCACAAATATGCTTGATTCTAAAAAATAACTTCTGTAAATGGTTACAAATTTAAAAAAGAGAGAGAGAACATTCTATTTGACTTCCTTTTTATGCTTTGTTCTTTTGTTTTTATTCAGTAGAATCGCTTTTCCGGGGAAGACATCGGCTACTTTCAATATAACCTCCATTTTCTTGGACTAAGCATTGCATTCTGTTCACCGTACTTACTCTCTACAGCTGAATGGAACATTTCAGGAGGAATGTTCATAACAGCCCGTGTTATGTTTTCCTTTAAAACTGACAAGTTAGGAACTCCACCAAGATAAACCTTCGATTTTAAGTAACCCCATAGGATAAGTCACATGGAGTTAGATCCAGAGAGTGAGGCAGCCATGCAACATGAAAACAGCGACTAAGGACTCTTTCTTCAGTAAAGTGATGGTGCAACAGTTGCTGTACGGATGTACCAATATGTGGTGGTGCTCCATCCTGCATAAAGACAATTTTATCTAAGCATTGCCTTTACTTAAGTTGGTGGGATAGCAAAACTACTCAGCATATCATTATATCTTTGAGCTTTTATGGAACAGGTCTGCAGTCCTGCTTTGGTAATAGTCTCAAAAAAGTATGGTCTGATGATAAAATCCGCAGTAAAACAACACCAAACAGTTCAGTTACTTTTTCGGAATTGAGTGGGATTTCTTGAACCGCATGGTGTTGTTCAGATGCCCGAATCCTAGAATTTTGAGTGTTAACAGTCCCATTCAAACAAAAATGAGCCTCATCACTTTGAAAAATAAGCTGTCTTAAAGTGTAAAGCGCCACATTTTTCCCTATCAACAACTTTTGGAACTAATTTTTTTTTCACGGATTTCTTTTCCCCATGCCGTCAATGGTCCCTGTACAAAATTTCGTAGCTCTGTGGCTGACAGTTCAGGCTGCATAGGTCTCTGAGTACCATCAGTAAAAAAAAAAAAAAAAAAAAAAAAAAAAAAAAACCTTGTATATACACTGCTGGCTATTAAAATTGCACCACCAGGAAGGAATAATCTGATGAATGTCAAAATCGCATGAAAGAAAGTAGAGGTTGGGATACACAGGTGAGTAGCATTTCAGCGTATTTAGACGGTGCAGAAGGGAGAAATAACGTCTGAAGCACTGCATAAAAGTTTCATAGTGCATTTCTTATTCACAAAGTGCTTTGTAAGGTTGGAGTTTGCTCAGAATATCGCAGAAGAAGAGGAAATGTTTATCAGCAAGTTTCAAAATTCAATACAGGCACGATTGTTGCCTATCAAAAGCATAGATTATCGTTCTGTGATTTCACTGGTCGACATCCAACCACTGTCATGCGAATATGGAATCAATGGATTGCTGAGGGTCATACTGAACCACATGCATGATCTCAATGCTCTCCCAAGACTAATGCCTGAGAGGACAGACATATTCCGAGGTCAGCCCTGCAAACCCGTACAACCACATCATGGATCATTAGTCAGAAAATGGGCAGGTTTGCAGCATGCCCAGTATCAGCTCATATGGTGCGTCGGCATTTGCAGCAGCATGGACTATCCGCACAGTGACCATTACTTTGGCTTTCCTTGGCAATGCAGCATCGAGAGAGACAGCGACTCTGGTGTGCCAGATGACAAAGTTGGGTACAGGTTTGGCACAATGTCACTTTTTCAAACGAGACCCAGTTCTACATGCAGTATTCCAATTGCCTTATATGGAGTGTGTCTGAGGAGACCGGACGTTGCCTGCCAATATCGGCATAGGCCCCTGCACCTGGTGTGATGGCTTGGGAATACAACATGCACATCTCTAGTTTGGATCGACAGTAATTTGAATGCAGATGGGTACATTTCCGACACTTAAGTCCGTCCAGTGGTTGTGGTCTATCTTTGAGGCCTGTCAAACGTCATCTTCCAACAAGATAATGCAAGACCATGTGTTGTTGCATGTTGTGTTCTGACCTTCCTTGATACACACGGTATTTGACTTCTGCCCTGGCGGCTGCACGGTCTCCAGATCTCTCACCAATTGAAAACATCTGGTCATGGGTTGCTGAGAGACTGGCCTGCCACTCCTCTCCGGCTAATACGGTTGATGAAGTGTGGCATAGACTTGAAGCAGCATGGAATGAGTTGCCCATTTCTGTTATCGGGGCCCAGTTTGATTCCATGTCTAATGGTGTAAGGGCCGTTTTAGATGGGAGGGTTATCAGCTTTTTCTACTAATTTTGCAACCCTGTAAACCTCCAAAATGCTTACAAATTTAATCATTTTGGCTTCATGCCATACTGTTTACATGCAATAAATATCTTTTTTGTATTTGCCTTCCTTCATGGTGTTGCAATTTTAATGGCCAGATGTGTACTTAAAGAATTATTTTTAACAAATATTATTTTATGCTCTTAGGATAATCAAATTTTACATGTTATATATTATATAAATTATGAAGCAAAAATGACTCACATCCACAAACTCCTGAGTAAGTTTAAAAGGAGAATTTTCAAATCCCAGATTCTTGGGAGATGATGACAAAATAAATCCAAAATCTATGTGAATAATGTGACCTTCGCCATCAAGCAATATGTTCCCATTATGCCTAAAACCAACGAGAAATTAAAATATATATATATATAACAAACACCCAATGAATCAGTTTAAAAAAAATTACACAATGCAAAATCTCCGTTTACAGAGAAATTCTATCATAAAGATAAGAAGATAATTCATTAATTTCCCTACAACACAATAAAATTACCTACAGTGTAACAGAATTCAACATTAATTACAATAAAATTCATTAATACACATAATTCTCATTTTTGCTTGCCTAGTTTTAATACCGTTTTTAATAACAAAGTACTATATGCAGATGACAATTTTATACATGGTTATTAAAATTCAGAATATTAAAAATTTGTGAAGCTCATTCATATCATACGGAAATTTCACATTTAAAGCATAAAAAATGCAACTGTTAACAAAAATGAAATTCAAAACCAAAAAAAAAAAAAAAAAAAAAAAAAAAAATCATAATTAAAGAACTCTTTTGCTTTACATACCTATCCTTCACTTGAACGAGGTACGATACAAGACAATATGCTGCACAACTCTGTACAAAATTGCGTTGTGCAGTCAGGAATGCTTCACTTGTTGAACTACCAAATTCTTGAAGGAAATATTCTAATAGAGACATTTTACTGTGTTTCTTGACTTGATGTAATGAAACAGTATTCAGAATGGGTTCGATCATGCCACTGTCATCAGAAGTGACCAATATCCGATATGGCCGAACCCAGAGGGGCACCCTCTCAGTCTCCCAGATTTTCTGAAATATACATACTTTTGCTATAATAAAACTTTAAAGTAAGACTGAAACACTAAATATACTATAATCATTTAATATTTTGATTTGATGTCAAAGTTTTAAAACTGAAATGAAAGTGACAATATACAAATGCAAACATATGTGAAAGATAAAATAAAAATAGGAAGATATACAAAATTTTAAAATTATTCTATCAATATAATAGTAGATTTTATGGCAATAGATTTAATAATAGATTTTACAGCCACACGTGTTTACAAGAGAATATTATGTACCAATTTTTCATTTCTTTTGTATTGTACATATGACATCTTTAAATTGTACATATGACATCTTTAACATCCTTCTCTGTTAAGATATTGATTGCTGTCTACAACAAAATTACTGCTTTTACTTGGTACTAACAAAATTACCTTCATGTAACATCAATGCATGGAACCAGCTTGAAAAATCCAAACCTGACACATGGAATCTGTTAACTCTTGATCATATGAAAGAAACCTTACTAATACAATGCAGAAAATTTCTTTTTAAAGAAGCAGTTTATTTAGGCTATTGTTCATGTGATTAAGTTACATAATACTTCTAGATTTGCAAGATGATCTTAGGATTTAATAACGGTTACTAAACAATGTTAATATTGCATTCCTTACACACATTAAAATTTCAACAGTAAAAAACCAAAGCTATTCATTGTGTGCTAATTTTTCTCTTAATAAAATCAAACTTTGCTATAGCAAATCGAGTTTACAATAAATCCCCATAGACATGAACTTTTTGGTCTCATCCAGTTTCCTATATAATGCTATGTTACATTGCTACAAAAACTTTCAAATGTTTCAAAAGTTGAATGCAACCAATTTTATGGATATCTTCAATTGAAACTTTTTCTTTTTGTATCTAACATAATTTATTCTAGAATTTCTGCATATTCACATTAAAAAATTCCTTCTGTTTTAAGATGTTAGGACTCATATTCTGTCAACATGGAGATGCATAAAACACTTTTGCATTACTACTTTTTTATATCCACCCACCTTGTCAATAGTCAACGTGCAAACAATATTTTCACAGTTTTCAATATGTGCATGAAAACCCATTTGTTGACTTTTAATTTAAAGTAAAATGTAATTAATTTAATTGCATTTGACTTAAAATCCATAAATATAACAAAATTGAATACTTAAAAGTACTTCCTGTACATTGCATGCATATTTAATTAGAAATTTTCATTTTACTCAAACAGAAGTATCACTAAATCGACTAGTACATTACTGAAGCATATATTTTAAATCACAGATAATTGTAGAGGAAATTAGAACCCATAAATTATATATCTTTGATGTTTGAGGATTCAGATTTCTACATGGGGGGAAAAAAAAATTCTAGAGGGACAAGAAATATACATACAATCATCAACAAATATGCTTATGGGACAAAATTATGGATAAAATTTTGCTTCAATTTGCAGCAGATAATTTCATATATTTTTTTACTCAGTTATTATTTAATTCCATCAATAATTCAATTATTCATTTATAGTATTTTTATGAATAAAATAGTAATTATCCATAATTATAAATATGCATTTCAGAAACATATGTGCAATTTAACAGAAGGGATAAATCTATGATTTTTATGCTAACAATGACACTCAAAAAGAAAGAACTACAAATTTAATAACTGCACATAATAATGATTATAATTATTAACTTCTTTTACTTGCTAATACAATGCTTTTTTAAAAATTCAGCCATCAGTTTTTACAACTTTTATTACATAGTCTATTTTTTAACAGGAACGGATATAACTAATCAGCAGACACAGCAAACACAATTCTTAGTCCTTTGAAGTTCGTAGCAGCAAGGTTCAGCTGCAATTGTCTATTAACTAAAGTCCAAATAAAAATAATATATGAATAAGTGTTTATTTTCTAACAAAAGAAAACTTGCCTTGCATACAAATTAGAGCTGGTTAATTAGTTTTAGTTATGGCACAGTACTCAAGAGCCTTCTTCAAAAGAGCTACAGGAAAGCTTTCTAGAGGAATTTGGCTCCTATTTATGCATATTGCACATAGAGAAGTACAAGAAAACCAGCCATGCAGCTAGCCAGCTTGCCTAGGTTCAATCCAGGATTAACTACCAGTATTTATCAGCCTTTAACAGCTTGGTCATCAATAGGAGCCACAAACAGAAGAATTATTAATATGCAATAATTAAAAGTTTCCTTACTTGCAAAGTTGCCAGTAACTGATATGCCATTAACTCTTGTCTCAGATCATCTCCACACTTGATGATGGCTGATAATAAGTTCCAATTTGGAAGATGTCCATACGGTGAAGATTCCCTAATTCTCCTAACCTTTTCTTCCCAAGGTTCTTTCAGAGCTGCAGCAGAAGGATCTTCAGGATCACGCTATTAAAAATATTTATGTAAAGAAATTACTAAAATATTTATGTACAAAGTTAAATAAAATGTAATAAGCAAAACTACAATTAACATTCTCTAACACCATAATCAGAAATTAAATATAATTTATATAATAATAAATGTTACATAAAGCAATAAATACTACACAACAAAATGGGAAAGGTTAAAAGAATTTATCCATACTTAAGTCTGAAGTAATCTATGTTTCAATTTTATTCACTTTAATTAGCCTTAGTATGATGAAACAGTTCTTCAATGCACTACTATTTATATAAATTAGCTGTTGCTAAGGGATTGTTTGATCACAGCAAAGCACTCAAAGGCTGTGAACGTAATAGAAAGGATGACTTCATGAAGTAATTTTTTAGGGAGTTGCTCCATACTCATATTGCACATGAGAAAATATTGAGAACATTTTGGGCTGCTTGAGCAATCTCTAGGAACCTCCAATTTAACCCTGCAGTGCTTGTGCGGCATTCCATAAACTCCGGGTATGTTTCTTTTTTAACTGCTTTATAAACGGATGCGCCAGCAAGCTTGTGCTGCCATCTACCTTTCTGTCAACTATACACAAATAAGTAGAAATCATCGAAACAACACCATTTTCATTTTAGTGCAGAGAGGTACAGGTTATAAGTTGATGTGCACTGCTGGAGTCTAGCAGATGCAATGTGACCGTTTTTTATTCTAAAGGTTCCAATGATAGCGATAGTAATGATTATATTGTAGATAATTATTTCCTAGACCAGAATAAATCATCAAAATGGTCAAAAGTTTGCCCATCTAAAAATATACACACTCGGGACATAATATTGTCACTCATTTACCAGCATTGAAAGGTGTCGGGACGAATAGTCGAATGCCAGAGCAATGCTGGGGATGTTTTTTTCTGCAATGGCATGCTATCTAATATAGTTAAATTCACAAACGAAAAGATATCCACAGCACAGGAAAATTATTCTTGGGAAAGGGATAACCATTTGACTGACATTATTGAAATAAAAGCGCTTCTAGGCATATTACATATTTGTGCTTCTAGAAAAGGCAATCATGCAAATAGCAGGGAGGTATGGTCCTCTGATAAAATTGGTATTGAGCTATGATGTCTAATAATGTCTGAAAAATGATTTAGGTTCCTTTTATATTGTTTGAAGTTTGACAATAAGAACACGCAAGCGATAAAGAAGAAAACTGACAATTTGGCACTTATACGTGATGTGTTTTCTTCATTTGTGGAAAATTGTAAGAATGCTTATTATGTTGGAGAATATTGTACTGTTGATGAAAAGTCAGAATCTTTTAGGGGTAAACGTTTCTTCAGGCAGTACATCCCTAGTAAACCAAACAAGTATTAGATAAAATTATTTGCGTTAGTAGATGCTAGGATGTAACACTGTAAATTTAGAAATATATGCTGGCAAGCAGCCTGCAGGCCCATTCGAAATTAGCAACAAACCAGTACCACGTTGTTCAATAAGTTCGCGGAACGGAAATGAAGAAAGCAATTTTTATTTGTAAAAATGACTTTATTTTTCAAAGTAGTTTCCCTCAACTTCAATACACTTATTCGAACGGTCTTCTAATTTAAGGATCCCTTGACTGTAGTGGTTTTTCAGCAGCTTTGCAAAATATCCCTCCACGGCAGCTATTAACTCTTTGTTTGAAGAAAATCGTTTTCCATGGAGATATGTTGAGGTGTGGGAAGAGCAAGAAGTCGGAGGGAGCTAAATCTGGCGAATAGGCTGGATGTTGCAACAATGTCGTACTTCAATTCAGTTATTTTAGTAATTTTTTTTGAGCTGTGTGCGCAGGTGCGTTATCTTGGTGAAAAATGATTTTCTTCTTCTGTAATTCGGGTCTTCTTTCGCGAATTTTTTCGTCTAATTTATTCAAAAGGTTATAATAATAATCAGAATTAATTGTTTTGCCAGTTTCTATAAACAATAAAAGGTAATCTATGAACAAAATTCCTTTCGCATCCCAAAAAACTGATGCTAACAACCTTCTTGGCTGATTTTTGCACACGAACTCGCTTCGGCGCCGAAGAGCCGGGTTCACACCACTCCTTAGCCTTCTGTTTTGATTCAGGATCATGATGGTATACACAAGTCTCATCCATTGTGATAAATCGACAGATAAAGTCACTTTTATTCTTCTTAAAATGCTCCAAAATTTGCTGGTAAAGTCGCATCCAAATGTGTTTTTGCTCCATCGTTAGAGAATGCGGCACCTATTTTGCAGAGTTTTTTGAAACCCAAATTAACACTCAAAATATTGCTCACTGTGCCCAATGAAATGCCTAAAGCCTCTGTTAAATCTCTTTCAGTCAATCGACGGTCTTCCAATACCACATCTTGTATTTTTCCGATGATTTCCGTGATGCAGTTTTTAGAAGTCCCTCTCGCGGATCGTCTTCAAGGCTGGTATGACCAATTTTGAATAAACTAGCCCACTTGCAAACCATTGTTTTTGAAGAAGCAGATTCACCCAACACATTCACCATTTCGGTAAGAATTTCCATTGCCTTAAACCCTTTCTTTACAAAGAATTTGATAACTGCACGTTGCTCCATTTTATCCATACCTGAAAAAAGGCACAACACGTTACATGTAAAGGGCGGTTAAACAATGAATAAATAAACAGATTGAAATGAAACTTTTGACATGTTCCTAAGAAAGAACAAATATGAAAATGACGTCAAAGTTTTATGTCTAATATTGATGAATAGATGGCGCTCCGCGAACTTATTGAACAACCTTGTAGATGTTGCAAAACAGCTGAGTCCTGTAATCTCAGGAACAGGTCGTAATATAACTGTAGACAATTGGTTTACCTCATTAGAATTAGCTAATTCTTTGCTTCAAAATAATCTTACTTTGGTTAGAACCATGAGGAAGAATAGGAGCGAAATTCCTCACAGTTTACGCAAAGATTCAGGAAGTAGGAACATCACTGTTTGGGTTTCAGAATGACTCAACTCTAACGTCTAAGAAAAAAGGTGGCTCTGATTCTCTCAACTATGCATCATCATGATGCATTTGATGAATCATGTGAAAAAAACATGCAACACATGATAACCTTTTATAAGGCAACTAAACCAGGAGTTGATACTGTTGACCAGTTGTATAGCACTTACAATGCCATCAGGAAAACGAACAGATGGCCTATGATCATATTTTATAGTATGATGAATGTAGCAGTCATAAATACTCAAATAATACATTATGCAAATAACTTATTAGTCAGCATCAGGTGCAGTGAGTTTTTAAAACTTTTGGGTCATAATCTAGCTGATGATTCCTTGCATAGATGTTCTCAATGTTCATCATTACCTAGAAACCTCAAGCAGGATATTCAGAGCATTTTCCCAGTGAGGGTACAGTTCAACTTACAGATGAGGCTCGAGCTACTAAAAGGCAGAGACGTCATGAATGTGGCTGTTCCAAGAACAGGTACACCAAGTACAAATACCACAGTTGCAGAAAATTTCTGTGTTTAGAACAGACTCAGAAAATATGCGCCGATTGCTAATTTGTGCAACTAACTAAATGAGACAATACCACTTGTATTTGCGTAAGTTGAATAAAGTCTCACTATAAACTGAAGTTTTATTATTTGTGTTTGTAACATGATGCCACAAATATATATATGTTACTTCAATAATTCCTTTGCATACATAAATTTGAAATGAATGACCTAACTATATATTAATACAGTAAAAATATACCTGGCGTCTGCCAGACGTTGAACGACCTTTAACGTAACAATATGCCATGCGAGCACTGCAGGGTTAAGGGTCATACTGAACAGCATGCAGGATCTCAATGCCCTCCAATGACTAACGCCAGAGAGGACAGACATACTGTGAGGTCAGACCTGCAAAACCATACAACATCATGGACCATTAGTCAGGAAAATGGGCATGTTTGCAGCACACCCAGCATCAGCTCGTAAACTGCATCAACATTTGCAGCAGCGTGGACTATCAGCATGGCGGCCATTACTTTGGCTTCCTTAACAATACACCTTGGCCTGCACGGTCTCCAGATCTGTCACCCACTGAAAACATCTGGTCATGGGTTGCTGAGAGACTGGCCTGTCACCCCTCTCCAGCTAATATGGTTAATGAAGTGTGGCATAGGCTTGAAGCTGCATGAAATGAGTTGCCTATTTCTGTCATCCATGCCCAGTTTGTCGCTATGCCTAATGGGGTAAGGGCCATTTTAGCTGCCATGAATGGCAGCTGTTTCTACTAATTTCGCACCCCCGTAAACCTACAAAATGCTTACAAATTTAATCATTTTTGTCTTCATGCCATACTGTTTACATGCAATAAATATCTTTTTTGAATTTGCTTTCCTTCGTTATGTTGAAACTTTAATGGCTAGCAGTGTATATTTAAACTAATTTCATACATCATATATTTCATCTTGGAGAAGGATTTTAATTTGAACTAAAGGGTTTTTAGAGGTACCTGATTTAAAATCAAAAGTACTTTTAGAAGGAGAACTTTATAGGTAAGTTCACTTTCAACTTTCTGCTGCACTCTCAAATTGTCACTCATCACTGTATATGATAGTTATTTGCTTGAATTTCATTTTTTAATTCAGCTTTGTGAGAATTTTTTATATAATTTAGAGGGAATGTTTCCTCTTCTTACTCATTTTGAAATTAGCAGATCAACCTATTTCTTGACCATGTCAATCTGTCTGATATCAGAGGCAGACAGGTAGCGAAGAAAGTACTACTTGCCTTATTTGTAAGGACATATTGAAATCGCCCAACAATTAACAAAGCAATTGAAAACATATTGTGTCATTGAAAGTTTCCTTTTCACAAGGATAGAAAGGTAGGAGCAGGTTTCACACAGGAGCAGTAACCATTGAAGCAGAAAGAGACACATTAAAGAAGTATATATTGCTCTGTTTACATATGCAGTTATGCACACATCCCACATTTAAGTAGTCTCAGATATCAACAAAAATTTTACTCTCTCTCTTCAATGTTCTCTATCTAGAAGAGCTACAAAATGATTTTCACATGACACAAATCCCTTCGCAACACATGTGAAATACTCAAGGGATCAAAAGGATTATCATAGATCCAATACTGAGAGTTTATAATATGTAAAAATGTATCTTGGAAGTTTCCCTGAATGTTCTCGATGGTTGGAAGGATTTTGCCGATGCCTGATGAAGAGTATCAAAGAACCTCTAAAGAAAATAACAGTAACCTTTATTGATATACGAAGAGTTAACAACAATACTGAATAAAATAGAATGAATATGTTATAAACAAGAGGCCATTAACTTGACCAACAGAGTGAGTTGGGTGAACCTCACTTTCTCACAAAATCATGTTCCTTACTTCCAGGATGCAAAGATATTAAATAAAGTTTTCAGCAAAGCTTCTGATTGACAGACTTTAATAAGATGCACACTCTACCAGTAAAGCTTCTACTAGTAAAGCTTCTCAAGCACATACGGTTAACTGGAAAGAGCAATATTTACCTTTTTAAATCCTTCTTTTCAGCAAAATCTTAAAAAAAAAAAAAAAAAAAAAAAAAGCGGCAGACATTTTTATAAAGGGAACAACAAAAAGCAAGCTACTTTGGGAGATGAGTGTGTAGAGTCGGTGAATTCTTTTTCTTAGCATACAATATAGACTCTGCGTAGATGACGAAGTAATAAATACTCACTATGTCTTGGAATAAATACTGCAGAAGCAGGTTTTAAATAACCTTCTTATTTAAACTAAATTAAGCAGATGCACACACTTGGTGCTAAACATTCACAACCACTTGTGGCAAACTAAATTAACAGAAAATAAAGAATATAAATGCACATTAAATTAAGATGGCTAACGACTGGCTTCTTAGCTTAATGCAAAATTGGCTGCACACAAAGCTGAGCCTAGAAATATCAGTATAAACTGAAAGGTGTCTAACACTGAGCACAAGCAACAGAAACTCATAATGTTCAACACCAAACAAAATTTATTATATCGCATACTGAAGGAACACAAGATCTGCAGAATTCGATATTCGAAAACCCACTTCTATCACGACGTTTTCTTCTGAGAATTGCTTCCAAATAACCTGCTGTAAAAGATGTTCAATTATAATGCTGAATCAAATGTATATGCTATATGGCGTGCAATGTATAAGGAGACATTACCAGCCATTGGCAAGTTTTCTTTGGATGAACTGACAAATATAAAGTAGGAAAAAGAAATTGGACCTATCCAAATATAGTTATAAATGTTGAAGAGTGTCCTATCTCAGTGATTGATTATTCGAGATCAGATCTACGGACAGCAGGAACTTTAGCATATGAAGTATATGGAGGAGCCAATCCTTTTTGTTCTGTAAACTGTTGTTTGAAAAATGATTTTTGTAGTATTTTGGAATTATATTTTTGTAGATTCAAATTTGTTTGCATCATATGTTTCATTTTCAAAATAGTTAGAACAAAATGTTTAAGTATTAGCATTTTGTAAACTGAAAAGGTACTTTGTTAGATTCAAATTAAATCTTTTGTTGTATTTTGCATTTAGTTATCTAGAATATGCAGGGTAATGTAAAGGGCTTCTCTCTATTATCACTTAAAATGGTACCACTTGTGTTTGAAGGCAGTGAATGTATTTAGAATTTTTCCTTCCATAGTCAAGAAAAAATTTCTTTATGGAGGAGAGGAGCTGTGATACGGTTACATAAAAGAAGAAGAGACTGAAATAAAGGACAGGATGTCGCGTGAGAATAAGGTGAAATTATTATTTTTTTTAAACTACAAACACATTTTCAATAGTTGTTAAAATAGTCTTTATTAAAAATAATTAAATTTGGCAATGTTAAAAACGCAGCTCGAGAGCCACGAATTGCTCTCGCACGTAAAATGTATAGAATTTGATTTTGAAAGATAGGGTTTTTCTCGCAATTGTATGGTAGCCATTTTTTTTTTGCATTCAATAAATTTTTATGCTGTGTTTTGTTTTGAACCTGATGTCACAACCCAGGTTTTGCATAGCGGTTTCGGCCACTACACCACAAAGCTTACTTTTTATAAAATTGCTCAAACAGTATACAAAAAAAATAATAAGCCGGATCCAATTAGAAGATTAAGGAACAACGTAATCTGCAACATTAACTGAAATAGATAATTAGATAATTTTAGCCTAGCTTATACCGTCCATTATACATTCAACGCATGCATGTGCAGAAAGTTTGTAGCTTTGAGGTCTGGATTATTGATCATTCCGGATTAAAGCCTTTGTACTGTATGCCCTTTTTCTTGAAGTAACAGGTATGTAGTATATGATTATGGCAAAATAATATGCAAGCTATCTAGCTTTTAGTTCATTGATAAAAGTGAACACTGTTCTACCTTTTCATATGCACAGTTCTGACATGTAAAAGAAGTAAATTTCCTTTCTGTAAATATTTCTGATCTTTAATTTATAGAAAACTTTCTATACATCAAAATGAGATAAAAAAAAATATGTTCAGTACTGCCCTATTAACCTTTGTCTGCCAAAGGTGATCCTAGATGACACCATAAAGGCAAAACTTACTACACACACACACACACACACACACACACACACACACACACAAAAAAAAAAAAAAAAAAAAAAAAAAAAAGTGCCTTTTAAGCTTTTTGCAATTGAATTTCATTGCAATAGGTGCACTTAATGTGTAAAGATACCATTAACAAATTATATTTTTTTTAATCATTAAAAAGTTAACATCATACATTTAAATTACACACATTTATCATGAAGTGTTAATACCATCATATGAATTTATATGAAAAAAAATTGGGATCAAATACCTTTGATGCACAGATAAAACTTCTATTTTGTGAGTACTTTTTAAATCTGTAACCAGCTATTCAAAGAAATGATTATCAGTTCTAGCTTCATATGAAATGTACTCAATATCTTCAATGAATACAATGAAAATACCAAGACATAGAGGTATTCTCCCAGGAAATGAAAAATAGCTATTAGATTAAATATCATCCAGTCGTCACTATGGTAAGTTGGTTAAGAAATTAAGGCAAATTATGGACATGGATATTACAGCTAAAAAATCATTTTCATTTTTCATACTCTAAAGAAAGGTACTGTGTAGCTATGTCAAATAAAAGATTTATTATTTTTTTAATTTTTTTCCCATGAACAAAAAGTAATTTTTTCAGGCATTTATATTGAAAATAACCTTAACTTTTTCAGAACCATATATTGCAGTTATCAAATAAAAAAGTTTACAATAACATTTTTAAATCTATAATAAGTCAAAATGTGTCAAAAATAATTAAAAAAAATTCCAGTAAATTTCTTTCTTATAGCTGATTATATGCATTAACTCTATGTTTACTTTCTATATTTTTCAGTTTGAAAGGTTTTAAAATTATCATCAGTCTAATGGTTTGCTTCTAAATGCGTAATTAAAGGGAAATTAAGAAACACAGATACACATAGTTATTGCATATAAAATTTGCATATGGTTACCATGGAGAACAGATCTTTCAATGTGCATTTAAATGCTCTGCCAACTTAACCATCAAAGCTGTTGATACTTTATGCTGATTTCGTTCTCCTTATATGCAGGTTCTCTTACAATGCATATAAAAATTATGATTTTCATCTTTTCTTAAATATTCTCCATTGGAAATAAGGAGAAAGCATACAATATTTTGCTTCATTTTTAAATTCAGTTAAAATCTATAAATACAAGAAACCTAAATATTCCATACAGAAAAAAAGAGAAAAATTAATAATAATAATCATAAAGCATTTACCTTAAATGTACTTTTTGGTGCATTTATATTTTCTGACAATCTTCTCCGTATATCACCAGCAGCCACAAAACTTGGTTCTCTGCTGTCTGCACTTGTACCACTATCTTGAGACATCTGAGATAGAGCATCTCTGTCCTTAGGTTTTTGGCAGGATGCATACTAAAACATAAAACAATACATCAGGGAGAGAAAAAAAAAATGTTTATGATATTATATATAAAACATGCAATACATTACCATGCTAAAATATTCATAACAATGTCAAATTTTATTTACCTGCAAAGAAATGGCATCGTCTTCTTGAGACCAACAATCTGCATCATCTTCTAATGTAGGATGTAATGAAAAAGAAACACCACTGAAATCCTGATTTCCAAAGTAATCAGGAAGATTTTCTTCAGAACGAGTTTGGCGAAGAGCATTTATCATTTTTGGTGGAACAGCAGCACCGTGAATGTCATCTACTTCAATTACTTCAACATATATTAAATACGGAGCCTGTGAAAAATTCAATTTTTTTATTGAGGGGGGGAAAAAAGACTAAAACATTTATATATACAGACTTAAAACATTATAACACATAAACACTTAAATACATAAATGTTAATTCAGAAGTCAAACAAAAAAAAAAAAAAAAAAAAAAAAAAAAAAAAGAAAAAAATCAGCATTATATTTTGAAAATATATCCCTGATTTTTTGTTTGACTTGAATTAGTATTTATTTGGCGTGTTATTGTGTCTTAATTACATAAATGTTATTTATATTAAAAATCTTGATTCACAGAGAAAATAAAGGAAACTAATTAAAACAGATTTAAAATAAATACAGAGATGTCAGGCTTCTTCCAATTTACATAAAAGGTAGATGTATGGAAATACTTCATCACAAACTGTTTCAAAAAATGAAAGATATATTTTAAATACCTCTCATGGGACTATCTCAGCAGCTTGGGAAGGGGGAAGAGAAATATGTGAAAACAGATTCCGTAACTTCTAAATATAATGGAACTAGAAAGGAAGACACTTAGGAAAATTCTCAGCCGGGAATAATTTTTAAAATTAATTCTCCTGCATTCCTTAAAGAAAGTTAATTAAAAAATTACATCCAAAAAATAACCATCTAAATTTTTAATCTTTTAACAACTAAAAACGTTATCTTTAAGTACATGAAGAATCATGCACTATCATAATGTAGAATAAGAAAGTATAATTTCCTACTCTACATTATGTACTTAAAGTATCATCATCTTTTATTGGTATGATTGCTCAGGGTGGACCTCATTTGCTTTAGAATCCTCACCTATTCCATTCTCTGTGTGCCAGAGGTTTCTAAATGTTAATTTAAATAAAGTGATGATCAATACAGCTGAACCATCAAAGCCTGGGTCTTTTTCTGACTCATTTTCTCATTGGTTTATGGCTAAAAATTTCAAATGCTAAAGAAAAAGATTTCATACAACAAATACGGTTATCTACTATATCACCTTGATTTGATGTTTGCTTTTACTTCCTTTCCAGAATTTCCCCACTACACAGTTTAATTAAGGGGAGAGAAAAATTCCCCCCTCCATAACCATCAAGTGATATTACTTAATATTACTTACTAAGCCATGGAAAATTTCTAATACACATTTAAATCTGTTACAAAAATCTCTCTTCTAGGGAAACTGAAATTTTCATTGAAAATTTCATGTTCATTACTTGCATAATGAATATCATTTCTAATTTAATTCCTGTTTTCAAGAAATAGGAACCAATTAGGAAAATTTTTCATCTAATATTCTAATTATACTCATATTATACTTCATACATAATTTCATCTAATTTCTTCATCTAATTTATATCATGTACATTTTTTATTGCCTGTGTGTGCATTGAATCATGTTATCTTCCTGCTTAAAGTATATATAATAATATTCATGGGATTAAAAAAAAGTTTCTATATATTAAAACTGTTCAATGCTTCTCCACATCACATCATTACATATGATGCACCGTATAAAAATTTTCATATAATTTAATATTTTTTTAGTTGCTGAAAACAGAAATGAACAGAGGGAAAATTAAAATTCATTTGAAAACAATATGTAAAATTTTAAGAAATAAATTACCAAACAAAATTTCCTTCTCATTTTCTCAGACTTTTTTTTTTACTTTCTTTCCAAATGATATAATTTACACACATTATATGAACAAGATGCACCTGATAATCTGAATCTCACTTATGCTACAGTTTTTGCCACAATTAATTTATCATTTCATTCATTATTCTACTCCATTAGTTTGGACTCGGGTAACTTTTATACTAATCCTTTAAATCCTTTACAAGATAAAACTATTTTTTATTTGCTGTGAGTTAGTATTACTTGCAGGAGGGAAGGCAGGTGTGAAGTATTAATAAAAATAATTTTTCTCACCTTATCTTTAGAATTCAGCACCACTGAGGCCTGAGGAGGAATCCTCAAAATCAAATGTTTCATAGTATCGGAATGAATGGGAAGCCAAACACGTGCTGGCAAGTTTAAATTCAACATAGACAACTCTGCTTGAAGTTTTTGGGCTGCAAAATATAAAAATATTTACGATTTGACAGGCATTGAATTTTGATTTCTGATTATAAGTTATACAAAATATTGAAGTATTTTGATTTCAGTACTATTTTATAATAAAAATGTCAATATGTCATCAAAGAACTAAATACTAGAAATGCTCAATTACAACAGTAACTCATACAATGCATCTCATGAAAATATAAAACAGTTCCGATTTAAAAAATGGGCACCTCCTTACTTTTTAACTCTTTTGTTAAAACTGGTTGAAGACGTAAGCCTATTGACATCAGAGCTTGAACGAAATCTTGCTCTGCTCCAAGACGTGGTGCCTGAAAATATAACGATTTTTAAAGCACCACTTTTATCTCATTTATTTGTTCATTGTTCAAATAGGTAAAAGTACCTAGTTAGCTCAGTATGAAGCAAATATATCACTTTCTGTTCAGCAGTTGTGTATTAATTTATCTTAATTAAGTATCCTTACTCACATCTTTCTACATGAAAAGACTTGTCTATTTTATAGAAGTAACAAGATATGAATAGCAGAAATGGAATAGATTCACTATGTCTATATTATAGCACTATGAAAATATATGAATTATCATTTCCCATTAAGCCCTCTTTTACCCCCATAAAAATAATTTTTACTTCTTAACAGTCAAATTATATAGAAGGACACTTAAATGAGAATCAGATAGAAATTGGTAAGATTCTTAACTTTTGTGGGACAAGTTTGTATGTACAGGTAAAAATCCTACCTTGTACTCTGTAAATGAATTCAAACACTCAGTACAACTATTTTTTATATAATTCTTTCCCACAAACAGATGAATGGATTTGCGACATTTAACTGCCACACATTCAAATTTGTTATACAATATTTTATTAAATTAACAGAAAAACTTAGCTAAAATATTTCACATTACTGCAAGAAAAAAGGCACTACATTTTAAACAAAACTATATATTAGACCTACTTGGCAATGGCAATGCACTGTTTGGCCTCTAAGATCACTACAAATGCTTTTACAGCTGTCAAAGCATTTACAACCATTGTCAAATGCATGACCTGATGCTAAGTCCTTAGGAGCAAGTTTACTTAGGCCTCCAATTGTTGAAACACTTCGCCTCATATTTCCTACAAGACCTAAAAGAAAAAATGTATAAACTGAATAATTATGAAGAAATAAAAATACAGTATTAAGATTTGCAAAATCTTGAATAATACATTTACCACAGTAAGAAAGTTATTTTCAATTACTTAATAACCCAGTACTTTACTTTCAATTATTACAAATAATATTACAATCAGTAACATTAATACAAGTTAGTTTCCTTTGAAAAGGTTTCGATAGATGCACCTCTTCCCTTAAGCAGATAGTCCTAATCCAACAAAATACGTTTCACAGTCGAAAAGTTGTAAATTTAAGACAAAGGAGAAACATTTAAAAAAAGGTCTGCTGTTATACCTAAAGCTGCTTAAATTCTTAATGAAAGAATATTTTTTATGAACATCTTGGAATTTATTTACTGAAAGGAGAGTTGTCATTCTGATCACCTCACCCGAGATAGACAGGTATATTGTACACATAAGAAGCATCTTTATTGCAGATTTTTGTAGTTAACTGAAAAGTGAACACATTTATCTTTAGAAACTGTTCTTCATTAGCAAATTATTCTCTATTACATAACAAATTTAATATAAAAATTTTTAATCCAGTTTAATTTTTAATTTTTTCCCCCTTTATGTTGATACATTTCTGTTTCTCAGAAGTAACTAATTTTCTTTTCACTATAGTTCTTTGGCCTTCAAAAGCACCTGTTAATCATACATTAATATTTTTAATCTGAAGCCTAAAAGATGTTTTTCCTAAGAATATTCTGCATATATCACATTCCCAACAACTCTCAATACGTTCTTTCAAAGTTTTTTATCCCCACCCAGTTCTCTATGAGCACAATTTACAACAATTAATTTACTTGTGTTTGAGATAATGTAATGCACTAGCTGAAAATGATGCTAATGTACATTTCCAGAATGAATTTTGTATTGCAGATGCTTTGATCAATCTTAATTTGAAGGAATGTAGCTGTTTTGTTTGCCTTGGTAGTGGATAACTGGTGATTATACGTGTTACAAAGATGCTACGTACTGTTGCTTGGAAGCATTTTTTTTCTTGTATTATAATATGGTTCTTTTTTACAGTTTGTAGAAATGATATCTATAAGTGTTGTATCTACTCATAATGAAAAATGCAAATCCTGTAGAATTTTTGCATTGAATAAAATACCTCATATTGAACTCTGAGCTTCATTTGCTTGATACCCTCAGACATGTTTTTGCAATTTGTTGTAACAGTTCTGCCTGACATTTGCCCAGATTTGTATCAATGAGACATCAATCTACACAAATAAAAATTCTATGAAAATAGATTTTGTTTTGAAGTCATGTTTGACCTTTTGTTTTGTACCAAGAATAAAAGTGGCACATCAGAATTTCAGCTTATCTATAGGGGGGTTCATTCCAAGGGTCTTCCACTCCTCTTTGCCCTACTACCAAACTCTTGAGAGGTCAGGATTAAAAATAGGGGGTTCATTCCAAGGGTCTTCCACTCTTCTTTCCCTACCACCAACCTCTTGAGAGGTCAGGATTAAAAACACCGATTCTTAAGTGGAAGACCCTTGGAATGAACCCCCCCTATAGATAAGCTGAAATTCTGATGTGCCACTTTTACCTCTACTTACCAGCCACTTTTAACCCTTACCAGTATTTTCAACCTATGCTTAGCTAAATTCATAGGCATACACTGCACAATCCTAATCAAACTTTGAAATGAATTAGTGCTTCAACAACTGATATTTCAACAGTGCAGAATATTGCTCGTATTTGCAAAGCACATATGAAATGATAGGTTCTAATTTTGCATATATAAAGCATTTTCAGCATTTTAAATTTCAGTTTCCCTGTTTAACAAATGAAAATAATATGCTCAATTCATAGAAACCTCTTTCTGCTCATAATTTTTTTTTTTTTACAATTTTGTTTCCAAGCATTATATTATTTGACTAATAATCACTTATTCTTGGTACTTTTATAACACTTGAAAAGAACTATCACAAATGTCCATATTTCTTTTACAGATGACATTGTTTTCTAGTTACAGAGCCACGTTCTCCTACATTAAATTCCACATATCAGATCTATGAGGAAAAAATTTAAATATCAAAAAGGTGAAGAAGTAAGATATCAACTATGAATTTGTCACTAAAAGTGGTAAAATGGGAGCAAATTATGGCATTACAGTTTACAGGAACAGATTATTTTTAATTTGATTTTTTTAACAATGCTTTAAAATAGCTGCTTCCAAATTTGCAATGCACTTATCTTCAACTGCTGCTATTGAATGGTCCTCCTTCATAACCATTTATCTCATTCCCTACATTTTTCAAGTGCCATCTTCTATTCCAAATCTAACTTATCTATATCATTAAATAGAACAGCATCAGTTTCTCTTTAAGATAAAACTTCACTTCGTAATGCCTACACATTTTGAAGAAGGCTGGATGAGAACATAATGTGTCAAAGAAGAACGAGCACAGAATAAAAACATTTAAGCTAAATATAAGGAACTGCAACAGAAGAGAAGTCTATAGAAAATATAAGTTACTGCATACCTTTGGGAGAGGTTTGAAAATATATCATGGTGATCTTAGCTGGCCATATGGCTATTGGTCATGTCAATGACAGGCCTTTAAATTGTGAAGTGGGGAAGAATAAATAAATAAAAAAAAAAAAAAAACACCTACTTCCTTCTTCTACATCTATTCTTGGAGTTTAAATGGTAGCATTGTAGGGTTTATATTTATTTTAACTAACATTTATTTTAAGTTTAAACTATCTTTCCTGTCAAGCCTTACTTTCCCCTGGAATTGCCAATGCCAGAGTATGTAAATTTTAGTAGAACGCGCAAGGATTCAAATTATCAGCGGAAGTATTCTGAGTTAAATAGAAAGGAAACGAGTTCGGGGTGTGCTGTTCTTACTTCACGAGCGCAGAGGTAGTTAGCCAGAAATTGAAGAACCCCGCGTTTCGGCCTGTGTGCTTGCCTGGAAGAATTGTTAATCGTTCAAGTGATCTTCAAGTTTTGCTGAATTAGCAGCGGTATTGTAAAACGCGGTGAGGTTAGTTACTTTTAGAGAGCCTCGTAGTTAGAGTCTTGTCTTTAGTTTCTTTTCAGGTTATTATTTTTATTTTACCGCCGAGTTGCCGTAGTTTGTGAGCGTCAAGAGCATGCACTTGTAATTTATTACATTGAATAAAAAGGGACTTAAACCCTTAACAAGACTCTGTCATTTATCCAGTTTCAACAGTCACCTCTTGGTTGCGTGCAAGTTGGAGGCGCGTAACGCTACAGCATATTCAGCTGGTAATCAGAAGACCCATGGTTTGGCATCAGTTTTTAAAATTTGCCGTTCCAGAGGACCTAACAACTTTACAACTATAAAACTTCTATTCAGTGTTCTGTGTTATATATTTTTTAATTTATTATCATAATAACTGTTATTACAAAAATTATTTACTGCACAGTTTAGTTAAAATTAACTGGCAACCATAATTATATTTTAAATTATAATGCTTTATTATAAACATATTTCAAGAATGCATATATATATATCATATTCCTATCTTTTGTACATTAACATATATTTTTTAATAATTTACCTGTAGCATCTGAATATGACCTTTGGTGAGTCTTTTTGGGCGAAAGTACATGACCAGATGGTGGAGAAGGAATAACAGCATCTTTAGGCCTGAAAGAGTAAACATACATTAAAACATTTAAATACTGTAGCCATAAAAGTCTATTGTGTTGCAACTGTATAGAATTTATTTAAATATCTACTTAACTAAATAATAATAAGTAACAATGCAATTCATACACATGATTGTGGACTGTGATATATTGATTTTTCAAACTACAACAAAACTCTTTTGGAGAGATTCTAGAAAAGAAAAGGTAATATCTTAATTGCATTGGTTAAGAAATGTAAGTTTTTTGATTAATTTAAAGCATCCATCAATTTTATTTACATTAATTTATTAAATGTCACATTTTTATTCTTTCTTCTCCTAAACAAAGTGTGCATTAATTACAGTCCAGAGCTATCCTATTTTTATAATATTCTAATAATGATCGGCATTCATTTTTGATTCCAAATTGATAAATTTTTGTTAGAAAAAATGAAACACTTGCATCTATCTCTATAGATAACTAGAAAATTTTAGCAATTTCATTTACTTCTAAATTTATTTCAATGTCAGAAATGCCTTTAAAATGAATTCCGATTTTTCTAACATAAACAAGTAACAACAAAATCACACCATGAGTTATTTATTGGCTTCTGTTTAAGAAAAATGTTGCCAATCATGTGGTTAACATGAAAACATTATTTATCAATGCATGAAAGTAAACTCTTTAAAAGCAGAAAATAATTTTTTATTTTTTAAAGGCTATGAGATAGCCAACAGAATACCAATGAGTTGAGGGTTCTTCCTGGAAGTCTAAGAATTGATATGTTTTTAAATGATCAAGAATATTCTAATATACATTAATAAGTAAAGTAGTGGCAATATTGTCAAATGATCATGCATATGTGGAAATCATGTTAGTCAGCGCAGACTTCCAAATGCAGTTATTACATTAAGAAGTATTTGCTGCCATGTGCATTTGTAGTGAATAGCAAGGTGGATATTACTCTAAATAGCTCATTTACGAAAACTTAAACAACTATCCCAGATAAAAAGTATAGGAAGCAAAAATGCACAGGAATGTCATAAAAGGTTATTGAAGGATTTGGCAATGATGTCTTATCAACAGTGGTAAATGAGATTTAGATTAAGATCTCCTTCTAACTGTTTGTTGATGGATTTGCCAGATAATTATCCAAAAATTGAGTTTGGTCATCAATTATGCGGTGTAATCTATATTTCAAAAATGCTCTCTGCACAGTATATATGTAATTAGTGTGATCAACAAAAACCACTTCACTGATGACTCTCTCAAAGATCTAGCAAAAAGGCACAGTAACCCATTGATGAATACACTGAAGGGAATTTTGCATGCAAGTTCAATAAAATGTTGTTATTATTTATGTAGCTACTACTTTACTTGCATCCTCTTAGCCATACAGATTCACCTAGATTGAAATTTGAAATCCATTATTCAACTGAAGATACATATTTCATGGAAAAATTCCACTGTATTTTTAAATAGTTTTACCGACTGTGTTAATTCTACTAGATAAGCTTTAAAAATTAGGGTTTACCTTAGTTCTTCAGACAAAATCAACTTTTTCAGTTTTGCCCCTTGTGACTTTCTTCGGGACGGCGTATTTTCTGAACAAAATGCTTGCAGCAACCATGCTAACTGAAGGGAGAATTCAACACTGTTTCGACACCTATGAATGTAAAAACATAAGACTATAATAACTATGTAATGGTGATATGCTATATAAAAAGTAGCATATTCACAAAGTGTTTTGGAGGAAGAGAGCATAATAGGAGCAGTTTCTTACAACAATAAGTTTAATTTGGTCAAAAGTGAATTTGGCAGATACATTAATGTTAAATTAGCAGTAAACTAGACAGAGACTTGGCTGTATCACAAGCAAGAAATCACTTTAGAAATGTCAAACTTATGTAAAAATGCATCTTGTTATACCAAAAATTTTAATTGAAAAATAAACAAATTCTACTGTTAACAAGTTTTAGGATACATATAATTTTAATCATAGTGTGCCTTGCTCTTCCCACATTATAAAATTCTATTCCCAAACAGCCTGTTTACGGTAAATTTTATTTGAAGTGAAGTTAATAACTAAATTTGCTAAAAATACCATGAATTTAAATAAATAAATAAATAAAACCTTATGAATTATTTTGCTAAGCTCTAACTTAATTAAAATACCCATTCTAACTTAATTTACAAAGTTTAAAATTAGAATCTGGATTTTATAGACCAAACTGTATTAAAAATACCATATCTATTTTGCTCAGACAAATTTTAAAAACAAAAATATATTTAAAAAACTTATAAATTTATTTATCTTTAAGAAAAAATATAAAAATCTCAGGTGAATCACAACAGCATCAAGAATAAACATAAAATAATAACTAGCAAGAATAAAAATTCTGAAGTAATTCTATTTACGCCAAAGACATTTTGATTTCTATTTTAATTCACATTAAAAATATTTTGTAACATCTTATACAGCTCTTAAGATTAAGACACAATAACACGCCGAATAAATACTGATTCAGAAGTCAAACAACAAAAATCAGCGTTAATTCACAAAATTTTCACAGGACTAGTTTCGATGGTTTTACCGAACCATCATCTTCAGCTGCAAAACCGCAAATGAAAAAGATAGGAAATGATGTTTAGATAAGATAAGAAAGCCTGGACAAGAATAAGCAAGTGGCGCCATCTGTTGGCGAAACCAGAACTAAAACATAATTTCTCTAAAAGCCGAAGGCAAATTTGGATTGGAATTAGGATCGTTAACTAGAACAGAAAGATTTTTATGAATGTGAAATGCCTCTAGAAAATCCAGTTCTCCAATGGAAGATGTTTTTTGAATAATTTTGGCAGCAGAAAAATTGAAAGTGTGATTTTCGGACCAACAATGCTGAGCAACAGAAGACTTCTGTGTTTCCTTCTTTCCCTTCCAACATATGCCCCATGCTCTTTGACGCGAAACTCCAAGGCTCTCCCAGTTTGGCCAATGTAAACCAAACCGCAATGGCAAGGAATCCTATAAACACCCCAGGAATTCATATCCGGAACGGGGTCCTTGAGCATAGAAGTCGGAATCCTATTGATGGGAGAGCAAACAACCCGAAAGCCAAATTTCTGCAAAACATGTGCAACCCCACAGCTAATTGATGGAAAGAAGGGAATGACAACAGAATTTTTATAATCTCCTAAAATAAGAGTGGGGCTTTTAGTGTGTTGAGATGAGAATTTTTTAACTGCTTGATTAATAATGTTGGGTGAAAAGCCCCTGTCAATAGCTATTGCTTTTAAATAATTTAGTTCTTCATCAAGGGCTAGTTTGGAGGAGCAAACTTGAAGAGCACGGAAAACATAGGAATAAAATGAAGCTAACTTTTGTTTAGTCGGATGACATGATTTAAAGTGTGGTGGAAGGCAAACCGATGAAGGTTTACGGTAAACTGTAGTACTGAAGTTGGATGTGTTACGTGTGACCAGAATGTCGAGAAACGGAAGAGAATTGCAAGTCTCAAGTTCAAAAGTGAACTGAATAGCAGGATCACACACATTTTGTTTTCCAAAATAAATATTACAAGCAAACTGAGGGATTAGCCATGGGTAGCCCCCTCAGTCCCATCCTGGCTGATATCTACATGCATTATTATGAATCAAAATTGTTTGAAACTTTAAACTTCCCGGCATGGTTCCGCTACGTAGACGATACTTTTACCCTGTTTGAAGGTAATAAAGATGATTTAAATAGAGTTCTTTCAACAATGAATTCTATTGATCCTGCTATTCAGTTCACTTTTGAACTTGAGACTTGCAATTCTCTTCCGTTTCTCGACATTCTGGTCACACGTAACACATCCAACTTCAGTACTACAGTTTACCGTAAACCTTCATCGGTTTGCCTTCCACCACACTTTAAATCATGTCATCCGACTAAACAAAAGTTAGCTTCATTTTATTCCTATGTTTTCCGTGCTCTTCAAGTTTGCTCCTCCAAACTAGCCCTTGATGAAGAACTAAATTATTTAAAAGCAATAGCTATTAACAGGGGCTTTTCACCCAACATTATTAATCAAGCAGTTAAAAAATTCTCATCTCAACACACTAAAAGCCCCACTCTTATTTTAGGAGATTATAAAAATTCTGTTGTCATTCCCTTCTTTCCATCAATTAGCTGTGGGGTTGCACATGTTTTGCAGAAATTTGGCTTTCGGGTTGTTTGCTCTCCCATCAATAGGATTCCGACTTCTATGCTCAAGGACCCCGTTCCGGATATGAATTCCTGGGGTGTTATAGGATTCCTTGCCATTGCGGTTTGGTTTACATTGGCCAAACTGGGAGAGCCTTGGGAGTTTCGCGTCAAAGAGCATGGGGCATATGTTGGAAGAAGGGAAACACAGAAGTCTTCTGTTGCTCAGCATTGTTGGTCCGAAAATCACACTTTCAATTTTTCTGCTGCCAAAATTATTCAAAAAACATCTTCCATTGGAGAACTGGATTTTCTAGAGGCATTTCACATTCATAAAAATCTTTCTGTTCTAGTTAACGATCCTAATTCCAATCCAAATTTGCCTTCGGCTTTTAGAGAAATTATGTTTTAGTTCTGGTTTCGCCAACAGATGGCGCCACTTGCTTATTCTTGTCCAGGCTTTCTTATCTTATCTAAACATCATTTCCTATCTTTTTCATTTGCGGTTTTGCAGCTGAAGATGATGGTTCGGTAAAACCATCGAAACTAGTCCTGTGAAAATTTTGTGAATTAACGCTGATTTTTGTTGTTTGACTTCTGAATCAGCTCTTAAGATATTAACTGACATCAAGTTTAATGGCACATAACCTAAAAAGATTTTGTATGCTAGACAAAACAACTCACAGAGAAGGAAAAAATGTCTCTTTACCTGTACACAAGATATGGATGAATAGCTTCTGCAACATCAGAATGGTGGACGTACAAGCTGACAAGTTGAGGAAGATAAAAATCAACACTTTGATTATCAAATGTGAACATCCGATTACCTAAAAAGAAATAAAATTATTTTACAATTATTACTTTATACCATTTGCAGGATGCACATAGGCATATTAAAGGTTTAGTATGGTTTGTTTAAAAAATTGCATGACTAACAACCCATTGAACAACTGGTTATAGTTAGAAATAAATTAATAATATAAATAAACATTCATAGTAGTTTTAAGAAATTAATTAAATGAAGCTGGCTTTCACACTACCACAGATTTTTGTCATGATGCACTTTTTTTAATAACAATAAATAAAATTTTAATATTCAATCAGATTCTCTACAAAGAACGTTCTATTTAGTAAGCTTATTATACTACACAGAGAAGTGCATGATCTGCAGTATGTGAAGAGACCTGGAAGAAAGTCAAAAATCACCTACTAAACTACATTCTTTTCATAAAAGAGGAAGCCCCCCCCTTTAGGTGCTGCATAAAAAGTTCATTTTATTACATAAAAAAGATTATGCTTTAGAATTTCTTCAAATGCAAATTTGAACCCAAAATGATTTTCTAATATAAAAGGCATCTTTTAGAAATTACATTTGAAAATTAACTATGCATCAAGCTGTGTTTTAGTACTTTTGCATATGATCCCTAATAATGATGTCTCAAATAATTTAATGGTATGATAATGAAGTGGACATTTCCTTTAACTAGCTCAGCTAGGGAAGGTATTTCTTTTCATCTGCATACTTTTCCATATGAAGTCTAAAAAAAATTTTTAGTTTCATGTATTTTTACTAAACCATGCCAAAAGAGCAAAATTATCAATTCACCTTATCTCATTTGTTAAAATGAGACCATAGGTCTATAACCAGGCATTCGATCACCTTGAAAACACTGTGTATCATTTACAACAGTGCTGCTGGAAGGTGATTCCTTAAAAAAGATGTAACTAAATGTAAAGAAAAACCTATACTAGACTGACATACTATAGGAAAGGGCAGTAATACTAGAAAAAGAAAAATCGATGTTTACTTAAATTTCTAATAGCCTAAAATAAATTTTATCCAATATCTCACTAACAGCTAAAATCAAAAAAGGTCTATGAGTTTTTTTTTAATATACAAAATAGAACAACCATTTTAATTTTTAATTATTTATTGATAAACAGTCATTGCTCTGAATGCACAGATTCTGAATCAAAATAGTTTACTTTATAAGAAAATCTTGTTGCGTTCCATATATCATGTAAAATACGAATAAGGCAAATGAACTGCTTCTTTTAAAATATTTCCACAATAAACATGATTAGTGAAGTACTGTTAAAATGTTATGGAATTTATTAAAATCTCTCAAAATCATCACCTTTCTACCCTGCACACAAGCCACAAGAAGGAAAAATTAGTCAACCAATGAAAACTACCACAAATATATTATTATTATGAGAGAAACTCTTATCTGCCCTCCCTCAAAAATTATTACATGCCTTTAAATGCAATTAAATTGCGAAGCGTAAAATTATGAAGTATATTAGAATGAGATTATTCGTATCTCAATTTCAAGGTCAAAAACGCAGAATGGAATGATTCTTATTTTTTCGCGAGGGAGGGGAAGTGGCTTCTATTATTTGTTAATGGTAATTGGCTCTCACCTAATGCTATTCTATTCAAATATCTCAACCTCAAGGACAAACCGCAGATTAGAACGATTCCTGTTTTTTCGAGCGAGGGGTGGGAGAAGTGGGTAACATATCTTATTGTAAATGGGTCTCATCTAATGCTATTCAGTGAATTCAGATAGAGAAGTGGATACACTAAGGCAAGGCTCTAGGCATCTAAGCTAAAGTGACCACACGTCCCGATTTTGGCGGGACAGTTCCACTTTTTAGAGGACAGTCCCGCGGATTTTTAAAAATGTCCCGCTTTTTAGAAAACAACTGAATCTCTTATTTTAAATTTACTGTAAAAATATATTACCTATTATTTATTAATTATTATAGTGAATATAACAAAATAAAAAAACACATAAAATGCATGCAGTTAACTAAATTAGGCGATGTAACGAGTTAGATTTACTCAATGGTGTTTGATCATTGTCGTTATGTATTGCTAATGGAGGAACAGCTAGCATTAGCTGAAGGGCTATTTGCTTTCCACACCATAAACCACAATTAGTTTCAGATCAATTGATTGTACGTCGCAAATGATCAAAACATTGTACGACAAACAATTTGCACGTGCAAGGACAAAAACCGAAGCAATTATTTGTAATGTTTTTTCACCATAGTCGTTTTCACGATTGCAGAAAAAAATTAGTTTAAATGCATATTTATATCCATATACTATGATGCTTCCAACCACAAAGATTTAAAATTATTTCCCACAATTGTTAGACTTTTAGATCCAGAAACAGGAATTAAAATCTGAATATTAGATTTTGTTTCATTGCCGTGTGAAACTTAACAAATAATGTTTGATTCAATAAGTACTATTTTAAAAAAGAATAATTTAAACAATAAAAATTATTGCTCATTGTGAGGATAACACTGACGAAAATTTTGGTGGAAAAGTTAGAAGAGGCATCAATAACGTTTTTACGAAACTTAACGAACGTTTGAACAAAAAAATTATTCGAGTAGGTTGTGCAGCGCACATTCTGCACAATACTATTCAAACAGCATCTGACTTACTTCCAGTGGATGTTGAAAATATTATTGCAAAAATTTATTCGTATTTTTATATATACTGTACGTGTTGAAAGTTTGAAGGATTTTTACGAAAGCGCAGAAATCGAATATAAAATGATTATTGGTTACAGCAAAACACGATGGCTAGCTCTTTTACCAGCTGTAGAAAATATTTTTAAAATATACGAACTATTAAATTAAAATAATACTTTTTATCACAAGGTAAATGTCTAAGAATATTGCAGCTTTTTTTAAAAAAATGACAAATCACAAATTTGGTGTCAGTTCATCCAAATTAATCTATCAATGTGTCTCCTCTAATGGTACTTCTTTAAGAATATATGTAAAATAAATACCATTTCAACATTTTCAATCAATTAACTTAAAACGTTAATTTAATATTTAAATTACATTCAGAGCTTACTATGAAAATTGTACTAATAAGATCATGTTACATGACTAGCCAGTTCCACAAATATTGCAGTGCTTATCCGCGATCTTCGAAAACCACACAAATGACAGTTTACCATACTATTAAATATTAATTTATTTAAGACAAGCCATACTTCAAATGCTAATTTATTATTTAGAACAGATTTAGAGATTATTAAAAATTATATAAATAAGATCATGTAAATTTAAACAAATTTAAATTTAATTTTTAACAAATACGTATAAAAGTAAAAAAGCAAATTTAAATCCTAAAAAAAGGAAAAAAGCCAAAATAATTTTTAAAAAAATGTGCAAACATATAAAAGATTTAATACTCGAACTAATCTACAAAATCATTTAAATTCAGAAGCATAAGCAAATCAAGTGCAAAATCAATCCATGAAAATAAATTTACTAATTTAATAAATTAAAATTAAATTAAACATTTAAAAAAAAATGCATACGTGAATGACCGTTGAGTAGGCAGGAGACAGACTTATCAAGGGGAAGTTGCCTCCAAACCTAACTCTCCAATCATTCAATTCGTGTTTCGTCATTCATGCAGGCAAGGGTAAAAGTCAAAACCAAAAGTAATTCCAATAAAGTGGTTCCCTCAGAAATTAACATTTAAGAATTAAAGTTCAAAAAGGAAAATACTAATGAAGTCTTTTGAGAAACAAGTAAAGTCAAGAATTAAACTTTTTTTTTAAAATTAAAATTTAAAAAAAATTTATTTTTTATAAAAAAAATAAAAAAATAATCTAGAAACCAATGTATTTTAGAAACCCTTGTCTACAGAAACCTCCCCTACACGAATATGCATATCAATAAAAAGAAACTAAAAAAGAACTAGACATAATCCATATAAACCAATAAGAAACAAAAAGAAATAATTCACAATTTTTAAAAAACAAATATATATTTAAAAATATAATTTCATATTTAGAAAATACTTAGATACTACATAAAAAATTTTAAAAAATACTTAAAGCAAGTAAATAGTAAGTTTTAATTCTAACTTACCTACTATATGAGTGTTGGGGTCTGCAAAAGTGTTGTAAAAGAGAAGTAAGTGTGTTCTTCAAATTATGCATTTTTTTATATGCATTTAAAAAAAAAATGTTTAATTTAATTTTAATTTATTAAATTAGTAAATTTATTTTCATGGATTGATTTTGCACTTGATTTGCTTATGCTTCTGAATTTAAATGATATTGTAGATTAGTTCGAGTATTAAATCTTTTATATGTTTGCACATTTTTTAAAAAATTATTTTGGCTTTTTTCCTTTTTTTAGGATTTAAATTTGCTTTTTTACTTTTATACGTATTTGTTAAAAATTAAATTTAAATTTGTTTAAATTTAAATTTCATTCCTTGCAGCAATGACGCAAAGAATATTTAATTAAATTTGTATTTAAATTTAATTTTTTAAATTAAATTCAATTTATTCTTATGAAACAATAAGATCATGTAAGATGCCTAGCCGGTTCCAAAATATAGTAGTGATTCAATATCCGCTGATTAAATTATCCACTATTTTCGAAAACTACACAAGTAAAGGTTTACACCATACTTCTAAGCTTCTATCCCTCTTGAACATTTTATAGTGAAAAACTTAAATGCATAAATAAAATAAGCGACGTTTTCCGAAAGTGGAGTATTATACCAGTATTTATTCGTACAAAATACAATGATTAACAAAAGAAGTGATGATTTTATAAGAGAAATTTAATATTTTAATATGCATGTTCTGAAAACTTCGAAATTTTTTCAATGAACAGCAAGTAGACAATCTTTTTTTTACTAAGTGCCGGTGCTTTGAAACTTGAAAGAAGAACATAATGTATGTTTAACTACTGATACCTGTAAAGATCGAACACAAACCTTTAAATGTGATTATTAAGTCTGTTATTCGCTACGCTAAAGCAAACAATA